TAGCAATTTGATTTTCTCCCCTTGTTTGCTAGTGCAAGGGACAGTTGGAGAATTAATTAATAACAGCTTGCAAAACATAAACAACAACATGAATTGTAATTGCTTTCCTGCTTGTTGCTTCTGAATATCTGAGACAGGAAGAATCTCCTGGGGCTGGCTGTTGGTGCTGGCTACACATCACACACTTAGAGTGAGACAGCCCTCTCAAGGGGCCGATTGTATCATTAGCACATCTGGGATTTCTGTTTTTTTCAAGGGATGACATTAATGTCATTTCAGCTTCTCTCCTAAATTTTAAGAACGTTTCAGGAATGGAGGAGTTTAATTTCAGACTGGGACTGGTTTAAGACTAGCTGCAGGACTTTCTCAGTCTTTTCTATAAGTCTGGCATTTCTAATAACTTGAGTATCCAGACCCAGAAGCTCTAGGAAGAAATGTGCAAATTCAGCTCAAGTAAACTAAAATGGAAGTTGTGAGATTGGATTTAGCCGTAGTGGAAGTAGCGTCTCACATTGCCTCAGAGCAGAGCTCTAAAGACATGCTTGGCTGTAGACCAGATGTGATGTTCAATCATGTAGTCCCATAGTTTTCATTAAAAAAGCCCAAATCATCTAAATCTCAAATTTCATGCAGGTAACACTCGAAAAGAAACCACACCTGTGAAATGCCTTGCAGATAGGATTGAGATAAAGGGATTAGATGTGTGAAAGCCCTGATCACTGATCACAGAGTGATGGCAGGCAAAGATAATTCCATCAAGGGTAAAATACACTATAAAAGCACCCTTATGTGAGCTTAATAGGTTCTTTAACGCCCATATGCTCCAGTGGGGGAAGGCTGGAAGGTCTTAGAGCACCTCAGATCAGATCTAGCTGATTCCCCACTCTCCAAAACACACCCTCCCCGATTAAGCCACAACTGAAATCATAGTTGCATTCACTAGTTAGAGAGTTACACATATAGTACTTAGCTCACAAAGGCTCTCAGTGATGACCATGACTGCATGCACACAGTAGCAATCAAATGCTGACTGACAGGAGACCTGATTGATAGAAAAAACCTTGGGAAAATTGCAGATTTTCAGGATTTTTTTAATTTTTCAATGCTGCTTGGAAAGAAGAACATAGATCCATGGCATATAATTTAATGGTTCCGAATATGGGTAAATAGTGGTTGACTGACTGAGACAGGGAGATACATTTTTCCCACTTCACTTGACTTTTCCCTCTGTCGTTTCTCTCGATCATCGGACATCATCGTATTTCTCATTCCACGTGTCAGAAGACTGCATTTAGAAATATTTGCAAAATGGCACATCTCTGCATCCTGTAATTAATAAATTCCTTTCAGTCTTCAGTGTCAGCTGGAGACACATTAAAGGGGGAAATCAGGGTGGGAGAAGGGATCCTGAGGGCAGCTTTGAAAAGAAAAATGTGTCTAACTGGTTGTAGTGTTGGGCCTTGTTTTGTCAGTACCAGCCTAATAGAAGTCGTGTGATAATGCTAGTTCAGGGCCCTGTAACAGAGCAGCCACATGAGTTGTCTCAAAATGAAACACTGCAGAGTCAATGAGAAATGGGTATTCTAAATCTATATGAGATAACTAAGGGGTTGATATCAGCAGTTGAGGGCAGATTTTCCCTATATAAGGGGTTTAGTGACTATGTGACGGTTGTACACTTGGGTTTGGGTTAGACTCTCACTGTCAGGAGTGACAGTCAGAAACTCAGTCAGCAAGAGTCTTGCTGTGAGACTTTTAAGAGTACGAAAGATCAACCCTGTAAGGGGGCCAGTTACTGCAGCAACCCAAGAGGGAAATGAGCAATATCGAGTCTTGTGATGAGACTCCAGGTTATGTACAGACTCATAGGGAGACTACTGGGTAGCAGTCTGAAGGTCATTAGGTTATAGAGCAGGGGAAAAGTTCTGCATAGCAGCTTCAGTACATGCTGTGTCTGCCACTGGTAAGGTTATTAAGACAGTAGAACAGATCCTGCCAAATGAGACTGACCAAGATGAGATCATTTACCACTGCTACTATTCTGAAGGAACAAGATGGTTACAATTGACAGACCAATTTTTGGTTATAAAAAGACTAATAGAACCAATGTTGTTTCTCATAATTTAGGCTATACTCTACATAGGGGGTTAATGTGTGCAGATTCCCTGCACTAGGCTATAATATAAGAAGGATATTGCTACAGGCAGCAATGTATTTTTAATGCAGATGTGTCTACAGTTACATTAGAATAAAAGGCCCTTGATGATTCAAGGTTTTATTAAGTATAGGACAGCCACCCAAGCCTCATCCCTATGGTTCTGAACCAAAGTGAAGCTGAAAGCTCTTAGGCTTTCATACAACTTTACAGCTCTCCTTAGAGGCAAGATCATTACAATTGGCACCATTTCCACCTGCCACGCTTTTCTTCCTTTATTGCACTTATCCCCAGACTGTCTTCACAAATCGCTACCTAAAGGGCTGCCCAGCTGAAAATCAGGTCTCTTTTTTATATACCTTTCTTGAAGCTACATACATGTGTCTACTGTATAATAACAGCTCCTCTATCTAAGAACTTTTGTTTTCACAATCACAGCCCAAAGCACCTGTGCTTGTTTGCTGCTTCCAGAGGTTTGCTTCTGTAGCTACTTTGTTACTCTTTAACAAAGCACAGCTCCAAGCTCTTCTCATGGAGTTTATAACGATTGTTCAACCTGGGATGATGGCAGCCAAGTTTGCTTTCACTTCAGCTGACCTACATGGTAATGATTCAATAAAAACTCTAAATACCACATGTAACCTTTTATCCTTTTCTCCAGCTCCTCCTTGCTTCACTCCTCACTCTGCAGCAGGCTCCTGACTTCCTCATCCTACAGCCAGGTCGCTGGTCCTCAGCCGAGCAAGTGGAGCCTATTCTTACCATGACCTAGGTCTCAATAAACACTTTCAATACATTTAATTCTTTGTTGTTGTCATTCTTCTGGAAATTATCCATATTAAGGACAAGGACTTGAGTTCTCATGGAGATTTGCTGGATGCAGGAGATCCTTCTGTGTTCTGTACAGTTCTGACTGGTTTTGTGACACATACTTATTGTCCTTATGACCATGTGTCGAAGCCATGGATGGATTTTTGTTTGTCGGCAAATTATGGAAATTCCATGTGTCCTATTCACGTGTGTTTCCTGTGGCTTTTCACAAAGTATAAAGCAACTTTTTCAACAGATTTGCTTGATTACCATTAAAGGTCTTTTAACTCTACTTTGTAGCTCCAAACTGAAACTTCAGATGCAATCTGAAACATTTTGCCCTTTCATCTCCCGAAACTGGCAGCAAGCAGACACACTTCTGTGCAAATCTTTCTGTAATCAAGCAGATCACGTCTTTCTCTTGCTGTGGCATTGTTTCAATGGCACTAAGTGATCTCCAATTGGCCACCACTAGGGGGAGTTTGTATTTACTGTATGACATCACTATTTCGCCTACTGTGTCCTCCCCCCACCTCTTCTCAGGAATGCTCAGCCAATGTGTTATTTTCAGTCAAGGAACTGCCAGGATTTGAACCTGAGATCTCCTGACTGTAGCGCTTTTTCTATACTCTAGTCAAAGGCCTTTTCTTTTTTATGGAAGATAGTGAGAGTGGTGAAATACCTGACCTTTTGCTCTCTTTGTGCAGTCACAGGGAATCCTAATTGAAAGTGTCTTTTTGGATAGAAAAATAAATAAATAAATAAATAAATAAATAGTTGCTCAGTTCTCCATTTGTACAGGCCACAAGGAGCTTTTTTTTCTTCTTTTAACCAGCATTACAAAACAAATTAGAAAGAACACATAAAAAAAGGCAATTCTCAGACTCCTTACATATAGAGAACTCTGAGAGGGGGGGCACCTTTCTCACCTTTGAGCTTTGCTGCTTTTCTTTTATCCAGACAAAAGTTAAGATTTAACATACATGTCTGAAAAAGTGAGAAATCAGGAAATCCCCAGGCTCCAGGCCCGGAGCAGGCCTATCCTGTGAGAAATGCTGGACACATTTTACATTATATCATAATTTAACACTTTTATTTTTTGCTATTTATATTAATTGTTTTATATATATATGTGTGTGTGTGTGTTGGTAGGGCTTTATAAAGTTGCCTCAAGTTTTCATATTTCATTTTTTCAATGAGGCGTATTGCTTCTCCTGGCAGAGAGCAGCTCTGGTTAGTTCCATGGATTCTTGATGGACGAGGCCCCTGCAAAGAAGCCTGGTGTTTGTGTAAAGGTTCTGGCTATCCTTCCTGGATTTGTGTGCCTGCTTGTTGTGTGGGAGGGGGGAACTGTCAAGAGACAACTCTAAAAGAGGGAAAAACAAACATGAAACAGGGATGAAACTCAGCTGAAAACAGATTTGTGATGTGTACAGCATTGATCACAACAACTAAACTCAACGTGAACTGACAGTAGCTTTCCATTGGTAACTGACAAAAGCGTATTAGCAGTGTGTCATTTACCATAATCTTTGCCCTCATTTTCTCTTCCCCAGCACAGTATGTGTTTTATTTTGTGCTTTCCTTTTAGATTTTGCCCATGTCATTGTTTTAATAGAGTGCTTTCAAATATTTTCCAAAAATATTTTTAGAAGTACTACCTTATCCACTTTCTTCCTAAGATATTTACCCATTGTCCATTTGCAGAACTGGGTAGATGAAACTGTGGGTTGTCCTATCCTGTATGGGAAAACATTAACACCTTGTCTTAACATTTAGTCAGTAAGTTGTCAGCTGAAGGAACTGCACTTTTTATTTCTAGGTTCCACCCAACCATTTTCAAACTGCTTTATCTAATTCATGGTCACAAGGGGACTGGAGCCTTAGCAAACCAGGGGCACAAGGCAAGACACATCCTGGATGGGATACTAGCCCATCACAGGGCAGACACAGACACTCACACCAGGGCCAATTTACCCAGAAGCCAATTAACCTACTAATACACTATGCTTTTGGACTGTGCGAGGAAACCAGAGCACCCAGAGGAAACTCATGTGAACACAGGGAGAACACAAACATCGTGCAGATAGCACCCCAGGTCCAGAATTGATCCAGGGGCCCCAATGCCGCGAGGCAAAAGAAGCTAACCACTGTGCTGCCCCTGTTTCTAGCTTCTTCTGGAATAAATGACAGTTAAGGGGTTAATGTGTGCTGTCAGTATGACTAAGAAATGTTTTGAAATTGCTGAGATTCTTAGAGAAACTAAGTTGTTGCCATACTTATGTAAATCTCTAACTGCTATTTAACCCAACAGATGCAATATTAAAAACTAAACTCAGACCGATTCAAGATGTGTTTTGGGGGGTTTTTTTATAACATGTTGACTCGTGTATATACTGTATATATAAATTTTATATTGCTGTTCATTGTGTTGGATTAGCACAGTGTGGTCATTATTTAAAATGAATCTTAAATTTCTGGTATGCTACATCAGAATGCTCTGCTAAAAGGAGGGGTTTACAAAGTAAACTGTAAACCAATCAAATGGACTTAGACTGTATTCAAGCAAATCGATCTCAGGTTGGCTGGCCTGGCAGAAATCTAACAAATGTTCAAAGATGAGAAAGGGCCTCCTTCAGCTCTGGTCCTCTCTCGACCAAGAAAATAACGCCCAAACCAGGCCTCCACAGACTAACCCACAATCCTCTAACTGGCAGTGAGAACAGCCCTCCCATACCTCTTACCCAGCACTTCCTGTTTGGGAATGTCAAAGGTCAAACATTAACAACATGTAATGGAGTATATTACATAAAAATTGTGCCAGGAAGTTATTTCGCTCATTTGTCTGTTGGATTTTTTTGTTCATTAGTTTTGCTTTGTAAGTAAAACCTTTCTCTCCTTCTTCTCTCTCACGCCCCCTGCCTTCCTTTACCGAAATGGTAAAGGCTATTCGAGGGCCTAGAGATAGAGAGAAAGAAGGTAACAGAGAGAGTGTCAATCATGTCACAAACTCTATACCTTGTTTCTTATTTTTGTGCGATACAAGAAATTTGTTCTCTTTTTTGTTCCTATTTACAGCTTTGATTAGAATAATAATCAGAGTATTAATAACAATTAGAATCCTCGTGGCAACGAAGTGTCCGGTTCTTGTCCAATTTCCACGACAGACCTCTTTTTGTCCACCCCCCCCCATGACAAAAGGGTCAGTCTGGGTTTCTTGTGGCCATTGAGGTGGACATGAAATTTTGTAAGAGGTCAGCTCCAACAATGCCCCAGAAAACATGACAACGCTGGTCCAAGGGTCCTACGAAGAAGGGAAAAGTGGCCAGATGGTTGGCATTCCAGGAACTTCCTCTCTGCACTGGGCAGCTGGGACATCCTGCGGATGTGTGAACAACTGCAAGACCTGGACCAGTCTGTCCCAAACTTTTATCTCCCGTTAAAGAAAGCAATGTTCCCAGGATCAAGAGAAAAAAAGTTCAAGGTGACCACTAAAGGCAAAGTAGCAGCTCAGTTTCTAATGGTTCTGCACTGAGACTGTCTGGAAATAATTTTTGGCAACATTTAAGAGCTTTCAGAATCTATGGTATCGATGTGCCCCAACTGCAAAGAAAAACAAAACAGATGGATCTTTTGTTTGGGAGAAACTCCCCCATCCCCCAGCCTGCCCCACCCTGTGGCTGGAAAATGACACTGGCCCAAGTTGCACAGAGAGCCCTGTGCTTCTGGGAATTCCTGTGCAGGGACATTTCAGTGGTAGCTGTGCTTGTGTTGTCATGGACCGTCTGAGTAAAAGAGGAGGGGAAAGAAAAATCTGGAAGGACACCGCTGAGGGTGGTGTGCAAGTGCAGGGTATTAAGCGTGGCTGGAGAAGAGATGAGCCGAGGAACCAGTGAGTAAATGAGAGGTCCAACCCAGTATCACTCCTTCTGTTCTGTGTTTGGAGCAGCGACTCAATCCGGGAAAAATAAGGCAGCTCCAACCCCGCTGACTCAGAAAGGTTTCTGGGAAATCCATCAGTGGAGGAAGATGGCAGGGCTCGGGGGGGCAGCCGCCATCACTGGGGTCCAGGGCTGGCAGGGAGAAGAGAAGGGAGGGGAAGAAAGGGTAATCGTAGGATGTAGTCAGGAAAATAAATGGTAGTTTGCAAATGGGAGAGGGGAGGGTTATATTCCTTTGAAAATGTTGTTGCTTATTGTTGTTGGAGGGTCATCAGAGACTTGTAACCAACTGCATCTGCCCATCCCCTTCACTCATGCCCGGTTCCATGCCCACCTGCACTAGGTAGCCCTCCCCGCTGGGCCGGCGGGCCTGGGGCTGGTAGAAGGTCTGCATCTGCCCGCGGGATCCCATGGCTGGTCGCCCTGAACCATAGTACAGCTCCTCGGGGGGCTGGGCAGAGCGGGGAACCACCTCCAGTGGTTCGGGGCTGCTGTCAGGATAGGGCGAATCCCGAAGGTTGGTCATGCTGGTGTAGAGGGAGTCCCTATTGGGCGACTGCAGCTGGGCATCCAGTCCTTCCGTCAGCTCAGCGGTGTAGCTCTCCGATTCCTCAGGGTCGCTTTGGTACAGGATGGACTGGGCCCTCTGAAGCAGCAGGGGCTCCTCCAGGGCTTTGTACATCAGCTCGATATCGATGTTCTCCTGGGGGGCGTCGGCCACCATGGCGTCTTCCTCCCCCCCGCCACCTCTGCTGCTCTGCCCTGACTCTCCCCCCGCCCCCTGACCACTGCTGTGGTGCCCCTTTGCCAGGCTGCCCCCTCTCTCCACTCCCCCTCGCAGGTTGTTGTGCACCAGCTCGGAGATGATCATCTTCTCGAAAGCGGCGGCGTCGCTCAGGTTGCGCCGACCTCCCAGGTTCTCTGTTCCACGGGGATTCAGGAGAGGGGGAGGACCCCCAGAGCTGTCGGAGCTGCCCCCCCAGCCCCGCCCCCAGCCCCACCTCCTCCCAGGAAATCACAGCCGCCTGCACCTCCAGGACCCACGCTACGCAGGGAGTAACTGTTGTTGAAGTTGCCATTGAGGGGCAATGTCTCCATGCCACAGGTGTCCCGGCTCTTCGACAGCGTGCTTTCTGCGCAGAGGGAGAGGGAGATGGAAAAGGTGAGAGAGGCACAGAAGAGATCCGATACAAAGAGGAGTGAAAAGTGCGTGTTGAAGAGCAAAAAAGAGAGATGGGGGGAGAAAGAAAAGCAAGCACTTGGTCAGATCTCCCCATAGCTCTACAGAGTGCTACCTTGAAGCCTGAGCAGTACCAAAATCCTTCCCATACAATTTTCTTATCCCCTCTCCCCACAGAAACCCATATGGAGCAGGCACTACAAGAGAGATTAAAGTCAGTCCAAAAGCCGTGTGGTACAACCTGACATCTTCCATTTTATCACTTTTATAATGTGGCAAAAAATTCAGCGTTTAAAAAAATAAACACGTACTTTACACAACTGCTCTGTGTAAAATAAATTGAAATAAAATGAACCTGCACCATCCCAATAAATATTGGTATATTGTTTTGCGCTTTGTAACTGAAGGTTGGAAAATCAATAAAATGTCTGGAAACTTTAAAACTTTTTTATGTTTAGGCTTCCTTTGTGAGTGTTTACCATGAGGGAATATATTACACACTGTTGTTTTACAGTAGTGCTGTGATTGTATCTTCTGCTACAGCGTAGTATTATTTCACACGCATATAATGACAGCTGTAAAATGCCTTAAACACTTCTGTGGTAATATATAATAGTATTTCTATAATCAAGTGAAGTAAATTCAAGTGAATGTTTGCTGAATCAAAAGAATACCATTGCAATAGGAGTAAGAGCCACTGCCTCACAGCTCTTGGGTCATGGGCTCTATTCTGAATTGGGATACCTTCTGTGTAGAGCTTACATATTCTTCTTGTGCCATTTCAGTTAGATTAATTGAAGCCTCTGAATTTAGGGTTAACATTCTGATTTTCATGTTTTTAATATGCTGATATGCATTAGAATATTTCCATCTTATTATTTGGGCCTTTGTGAGAATGGATCCATTGCTTTATTTTTTAATTTTTTCCCAATACACAAAATGCATTGATGTCAGTGGAAATTAAGCATAAATGCCTCGACAAGATGAGACCAATTATCTACAGCACACTTGGGGGGGTTGAGTTTTGTCATTTCCAATTCAAAATCCTGATGGACTGGTTTCTTTTGGAAGGCAGTAGCACATGTGAGTTCATCCAGAGACAAAGAGCAAGACAGCCTCTCAGAATGCCCATTTATCCAAAGCAGAGGGAATCAAACAAAAGGAAATGACGTACTTGGATCTCGGAATGTCCCTGCATGTTCCAGGAAAGGCACAGGAGGAAAGGAGAGAGAAATGAGAGAGAGAGGGAGTCAATAAGTTAGACAGGCAGGCAGGCAAATCAAAACTGGCACTGGTGAGATTAATAAGTAATCACGTGGCAAAGAAACAAATTCGATGTGGCAGCTTAGCTTAGCCAACTCAGCTGCCTCCTCAAGCGCACTGCCAAGCAAGCACCAGAAGAGCAGTCTGGACCTCTGAGCCAAAATCAACACGTGGCCCTGAGCTATATCTTCAGAACAGGAGAGCCCCGCAAGGGGACTCTGTATCCTGTGTCTTCTGCACCTCCTTATTCATTTCCAGGATTCTTGCTTGTTATCATTTCCATTTAGGTTGTTGCGGTGATATGTTTCTGCATCCTAGAGTTTGCTCCAGAATGGGTGACAAATAGTGAAATTGGTTTTACTGTACTTTTGAAAAAAAAAATCCAAAACAACAGCATTCTTTTACCACTGCAGCACGCACAGGATAAGAACTGCTCGTACTGGGACACCCTAGTAAGTAACAGACAAAAGTAAACCAATTTAATAAACTTATAGGGGGAAGGGGTGTCTGTTATTGCTTAATGTCTCTTAAATCACCAATTATGTTATCTCAGCCCAAGACACAATATCATATGACAATTATATATATATATGTTTTTGGATCTTTTGACTTATTTTTCAACAAATAAATCAACATACAGTAGTAAATTAGAATTATTCCAGTGATTTTTATAATAAATATTCAAACTCTTTATTTTATGTGTTGTAAAATGTATAGAATTTGTTAAAGCATAGCAAATTGAAACTTAAGCAACACACATTTAAGGGTCAGTAAGCAACTGATCTCAGCCTACAAGATCACTTTGTCAGCACTATACAGTTTCTTGTATTAGGAATTTGTCTTTTTCACATACCCCATGTTGCTCTCCCTGAGACACACAGACAGAGACAGAGAAGCTTGGGGTCAGAGCGCAGGTTTAGCTATTTATACAGCACCCCTGGAGCAGTTGGGGTTAAGGGCCTTGCTCAGGGGCCCAACAGTGTTGGATTCTCCTGCTAGCCGCAGGATTTGAACTGGCAACCTTCCAGCCATAGGTGCAAATTCTTAGCCACAGAGCCACCACTCTGCGGTGGACACAATATAGGTCAATATACTGTAAGAATATTGTATAGGAAATCCACAATATAGGAATATAGGACACAATTTATATTCCTGAATTTTTAAGATATTATTTATTTTTACTTTGTTTTAATATTTGTGCATTGCACCGTTATTGCAGGGAAGGTCTGACATTTTTTATTTTTCAGACCAAATTCCTCAGCACATTTTGTCCATTACATACAAAGTTTGGTAAAACAAAGTCTGTGAAACCAAGGGCTTATTGTATTCACATTAGAACTGAACTGCATAATCATTAGAGATTTCTTCACTTGTGCCCTGTGTGGTTTTCACTCAGGCATTCATTCTGACGGGGTCCGTGTCCACTTTGATAAAACGACATGCTGTGGAAGTGGAAGTGACAGCAAGGCGAATCAGTGTAGTAAAGGGCATTATCAGCATGGCACCAGGCTGTGGGCTCAATTCTCTTCTGTTCAGTCTTTCAAAAGTGACTTCTGTCAGCCACTCTCTGGATCATCTTTATGAACTACCCTCTGGCTCCATGCCCTCCAGTTTACAACAACCAACCCATAAAAACCTGGAGGATGGGAAGTGGGTTTATTCAGGAGACAGAAAGTTACCTCGGTACAGAGTACACCATATGTGGGGTAGGAGCTGAGATACCAGGTCACTCCAGAAACTCCAGGGTTTGTGTCTGATACTGAGGAGGTCATAAGGACAGAACTGCTGCTTTTACTTGTTTGTTTATTTTAAAACGATCACCAATTACTGTACATTAAGTTTTAGCAAGCTCGTTCCCACTGGACCACTGGGGTGCAAACTAGCACTGACATGGCAGACAAGCACAACTCCTCTTACCTGTCAGTCTGAACCATTTGTCATGGAAGCGTGTTCTGACAGGAAACCTGTTTTACCTGGAGGCAATTTACAACCACAACCCCTTCACGGGGTGCATAATATATAAAATATGCTCTCAGACTACTTGGAACTCTGGAACAAATGATATTCTCTATGATATGGAAAGTAGGTTCTAGTCCTTGCTCTGTACCTCAGCTCAGCTCTCTAGCTTTGCACTCCCTCCTCGAATTTCTCTTGGCCTCACGGCACTGCTCTCAACACTGCTTCATTCTGACCTTGACTTTTGGATTACCCCAGCGTCTTGTTTATAGAGCTTGTCTTGGATTCAGCTTCACTACAGCACACAGTGTCTTCCTGATTACAGTGTCTTCCTGGCTTGAGTTTTGCTAGTTTGGATAACAACTATGCACTGTGTTTGTGTGCACGATGCTCTGCTTATGTCCCAAGCTGGATACCACTCCATGCTGACTGCAGTTTCTCTGTTTTATCTCTCCCCCTACATGTGTGCTAAACTTGTAACTCAGACTTTTGCTTAGGTCCACCTTAAGCAGCAGGTATCACAACTTTCTTTCAGTAGCATTTCCATGAAGATAACCAAAATGCTTGCTATTAAAATTAATTAAGTCTGTAATTTAAAGCCCTGGTAAAACCAGAATTTCTCTTTGGTTTCCAACAACTTCTTTGCCTTTAATTCAGAAATGTCTGTAAACGGCGCTACATTTTGATTTCCCACGCTCACCTCTTACTGCTGCTGTGTGTGAAGGTGCCCAGCAGTAGTCAGCATTTCCTTTTCAGAGAGCAGCTTTACTTCTTCTGGGGAAAAGCCCCCACCTCGTGCCTTTTCTAGGACATAAATGCTTGCATCAAGTGTCCTTACAGTGCTTTTTGTTTCCTGAGGTTTCTAATTAGCAACATGACCACCATCCAGCCTGATGTAATCAGGTATAGGAAGATACACAATACTGTTCCTGGTCAGTACAGGGATGGGAGTATTTAGCAATGCTAACTACCATTGTTAATTGTCAGTACAACAAACAGGTAGCTACTTTAAGTAGTGTAGGTGGTGTTTCTCTATCTAGTGCAGACTTTCTAAAATGATGCTCCAATATGGGTTCATTCTTTCTTCTTACAACAACAGATTATAGTGATATGATGCCATTAGGTTTTCAAAACCTCATCGGTTATGTTATATGATCAGTTACATAAAGTAGATCCTGGTGCCAGGTGGTATTTTTGCAGTACAGATAAAAATTGCAAACATCTCTGTTATACAAATATCATATACAGTACCGTACAATTACTACAGCATCACAGACTTGTTGCAAAAGACAACAATTTAAAATGTAGTGCACATATCTGAAAACCTTGTTCAATGTCAAGTAACTACATATTTGCAATAAAGAATACTGAACACAGAACAGAAAATGATAAATATTAAATGTAAATGCAGAATGCTTTTGTCATTCAGTTTTAGCAGCACATATTAGAAAGTGTCTTTTTTTTGTTCTAACTCGAAAGTGATCAACAATGTCCATTATTTCACACCTCTCAGCTAGGCAAAACACAGCAAATTAAAACAAAATAACAAACTGAAAAACAAGATACTTGGCTTAAAAAAAGACAGCCTGCAAAAATGAAATGTCTGACAGCACCGACACATGGTGTCTCAGAATCTAATGTTTTTTTTTTAAGCGAGCATTTTTCCCACAGCTTGTCTTTCAATTCCCAGTCCACTTGCAAAAGGTAGAGCAGTGGTTCACTCCGTGGTCATGTTGCAATGAAAGGTGTTGTCCTACACAAACAACAGAGCCTCTTTCAACTACAGTAGCTGTTGTTGAACTGAGTCTTCAGACATTGTGTGGGGGGTTACCTGACTCTTTAGACAAATTCATTTTGGCGGAGGAATTCATATAATAATGATTAGTACATGAGTCTTCACCGAAGCATATAATCTGGCAGCCTCAATTCCACTATGTCCACTTTTTTCCTAAATAAAAGAATAGATTTTATCATTTCATTGATGTCTAACCCACAAAAGTCACACTTCCTGCTTTCAATCAAGGGAATTAAAAAAAACTCACATTCTTCTATGTTTTTACAGCTTCGCAGAGATGGAAAAGAAAAATGCAGATGTTTCCATGCCTGTTGTTTTCAAACTCAAATGCAAAAATATAAAAAAAACGAAACCTGAAAAGTGCTGAACGCTAAGGATGTGTAACAAAAAAGGGAGCCCCTTGGGAATACAGACAACACTGTCAGTTTCTTCAAAGGGCAGAGTCCTCATTTTCTTGACCTGTCCTAAGAACAAAGGACATGTTTGTATAGAAGTCCCAGGAGATGGCTTTCTTAGCTCAGAGTTGAATGACAGCATAGTTAATAGGCGACGTGTAAGACCTAACACTCTAAAATGCAATTCTAATAATGGTCCTATCTAGAATGAGATTTTAATAAGCAATTCGGTGCATCTAACCGTTTCAGAGATGTCACTGTAATTAATGAGTCTAGCAGTAGCAAGCAGTATGAAGTGCCTAAACTGTAGAAAGACTGGATGGAAGAAAAATACTTCTACAAGAGACATTTTCAGCTGATTTCAGGACAAGAGCTTCATCACGGCCTAAGTGGCTCAGTAATACTGCTTCATACAAGTATTTAAAAGAGCGATACCATTCATACTTACATGTAGTGACATTTCTGACTTATGGCTGCACTAGCGACATGACACGCAAAAAGATCCTTGCTTGTCAGGAGAGAGGGTATGCTTTGCATTTTAAAACAAATGTTTTATTGTAAAATTCATGAACACTACAAAACTGTACGCAATATAAAGGAAAACTGTGATGAGAAAGCTTTCGAAGTGAGCAAGGTCAGAATACAATACAAGGTCTTAGACCTTGCTACTGTGGTTTCAATGAAGGAACAAAGGTTATTATAATAATACTGCTAATAATATTAGTTAATGTAATATACATAATATAAAAAAAAAATTATATTGTTTTTGTTGTTGTTCCTTTA